ATAAAAACATATGTTCACCGAAAGTTTTGTTTGACTATTCATAGCAGCTTTATTCGGAATAGCCCCAAACTGGACCATCTCAGGGGTCCATTATTCAGACAATGGACAAAGTGTAGTGTAGTCATACAACAGACTACTAGTCAGCAATGAAAAGGAACAAATTACTGGTAATTGTAATCTGGGTGAATCTCAAAGACATGCTGAGCAAAGCCATACTGAGTGAGCCCCCTCACGCCACGGGCAGACACAGGCGGAACTAATCTGTGGTAGAAAACAAACAGAACCCAGGTCACTCCTGAGGTCAGGGAGGGGACGGACTGACTGGGAAGGAGCGTGAGGGAACTTTCTGGGGAGAAGGTAATGGTGTTTATCCCGATACGGGTTTGGGTAACAGGTTATGCTTTGTCAAAACTTTGCATATGTACACTTAAGACTTGTATGCTTTATTATATGTACGTTTTAGCTCAAATGAACTTATTTAAAAAATGAACTCTGGTTAATGATATGCAGCTGAAGTATTTAGGAATAAGGGTGTGATGACTACAATTGAAGGAGCCCCGGTGACTCAGTGGTTAACGCACTCAGCTGCCAAACAAAAGATTGGGAGTTCGAACCCACCAGCTGCTCCATGGGAAAAAGATGTTGCAGCCTGCACTTCCATAAAGATTACAGCTTTGGAAACCCTCTGGGGGCAGATCTTCTCTGTCCTAAAGCGTTGCTATGAGTTGGAATCCACTTGATGGCAATAGGTTTTTTGTTTTTTGGTGGTGCAGTTGTTAAAGTGCTTGGCTGCTAACTGAAAGGCTGGCAGTTTGAACCCACCAGCCGCTCCTCGGGAGAAAGATGTGCCGGTCTGTGCTTCTGTAAAGATTACAGCTTTGGAAACCCTACGGGGCAGTTCTACTCTGTCCTAAGGGTCGCAACGGGATTTTCAATGGGACTACAATTTACTTGGAAATGCATAAAAAATAAGGTGGATTAACAGATGGATAGTGTATGACAAAGCAAGTATAGTGAGACAGTAAAAGCAGGATCTAGGGGATTGGTATGCAGGTGTTCACTGTAAAATTCTTCACACTTTTCTGTATGTTTGAAGTTCTTCATAATACAATGGGGAAAAATGAAAAGCAACAGACAGAAAGACAAATTTTTCCAAAATGTAAGAGATTTTTATCCAGAATATCTGAAGAGCTAATCATCAATAGGAAAAAACAAAAATCGAATTGAAAATAAGCAAAGGCCTTCAGAAAAAAGACAAATGCCAATGTCTTAAAAGACGGTTATCCTACTTGTAAACAGAGAAAGTCACGTTGAACCAATCCCAGTCTTCACCCAGCAGACTGGTATCGACTTGTGAGTTTCTGGCGGAGTGTTAGCGGGCGAGCGGGTGGTTGTGTGAATTGGAGCAGCCATTTCGGACGGCCCGTGGAAACATCTGCTGAAACTGACAGCACGCTTCTCTGGGCTGCTGCCAAAGAGGCTGAGGCGTGCAGCCAAGACACAGGCCGTCCAGGAGTCACAGGGCACCCGTGAACGGACTCAGCTACATCTGCACTGTGGCACTTGATGCAGTAGTGTGACCTGCTCCTCAGTCAGAACCACATACGGAATGACAGCACTGACCTGAGAAACAAAATGCTGTGCAAGCACACGCACGCTGCACAGAAAGATCTGGAGAAATTCCAACCTCCACCTCGGGGAGGAGGCAGGACTGGGGGTGGCAGCCAGAAAGCAACTCTCGCTTTATGATTTAGAAACATCCACCTACCTACACAGACAGACACGCCTATGTGCTTATACGCACCCACTGCTGTCGAGTGAATTTCCACTCATAGCGACCCTACAGCACAGAGCAGAACTGCCCCACAGGGTGTCCAAGGCTATAAACCTTTATGGAAGCAGACTGCCACATCTTTCTCCCACAGAGAGGCTGGTGGGTTCGAACTGCAGACCTTTTGGTTTGCAGCCGAGCTCTTTACTCTCTGAGCCACCAGGGCTCCTGCGTTTATATGTATCTCTATATAGTAGGGAGCCCTGGCGGCACAGTGGTTAAGAGCTTGACTGCTGACCAAAAGGTCCGCAGTTTGAATCCACCAGCCGCTCCTTGGAAATCCTATGGGGCAGTTTTACTCTGTCCTATGGGGTCGTTGTGAGTCCGCTTCGACTCGACAGCAGTGGGTTTGGGCTTATATATATAGTATGTTGTTTGCTGCTGAGTCGATTCCAACTCGCAGGGACTCTACAGGGCAGAGCAGAACTGCCCCATGGAGTCTCCAAGGCTGTCACCTTTACAGGGCAGATTGCCAGGTCTTTTCTCCCTCGGAGCTGGTGAGTTCAAACCACCGCCTTTTCGGTTAGCAGCCAAGAGCTTAACCATTGTGCCACCAGAGCTCCTTTTATATATACTATAGGTATCTATATTATATATGCCTAGTGTATATACACATACAAAAGAACATGTTCACATATTGCTCATATAATTGAAATTATTGACAGATTATTAGTTTAAAAGAAAGCTCAGCCAGAACCTAACTTTTCCACCACTTTTTGATTTTGGAGTGTAAGTGGCAAACTATGTAATTACGTATTTAGGATTTTATAATCTTTATTCCAAAACTGGGAGCAGTACTGGTTCAGTGGTAGAATTCTTGCCTTTCATGTGGAAGATCTGGGTTCAATTCCTGGCCGACGCACCTCATGCGCAGCCACCGCTTGTCAGTGGAGGCTTGCGTGTTGCTGTGATGTTGAACAGGTTTCAGCAGAGCTTCCAAACTAAGACAGACTAGGAAGAAAGGCCTGGCAATCTACTTGCAAAAACTCGGCCAACAAAAGCCCTACAGATCACAATGGTCTGATCCCGTTGTGTACAGGGTCAACGTGAGCCTGGGGCCAACTCAACAGCAGCTAACAATTCCTAAAACAGGCTTTAATTTTTCAATCTTCCCTAAATTAATTCACACCCACTGCATACCATGCGGTTCCCAAAACTCAGCATCTCCTGTATAAAAAGGCTGTGATCAGCTGGTGCTCATGGGCTCGGGCTGGACGACCCCTCCTGCTCCCAGCAGGTGCTACAGGCCGCCCTGCCTGCTCAAACGACTTTTCACATTTTCTTTCCTTTAAACTAGAAGGCAGGGTAAAAAGGCCGGGGCCTGACGTAAGCGCTAATCAATCAATCCAGTTCAGAGCCAGCTCCTAATACCCCCTCCCCGTCCCCTCAGGTGCTGAGTCATATCCAACTACAGAACGTGGGCAGATACTCTGCAGTCTCACCAGCCACTTCAAAACTCGGAGGAGCGGTTTGCTTTTAAGTCTACTACACAGAATTGTCTTCAAGTAAGAAATTACAAAATCTACACTATGGTAAAACACGAGGGGCCGACGTGTGGGTGAGCGCACACACAACTCAAGTACCTGTTTCTCCGTGATGGGAGACAAATCAAACAGCTCTCCAAAACTAGTTGTAAGTTTTATTTATATAAAATTCATTAAGAACATAAAAGATCGAATTTCTTAAAAAATCTGCAGTTATTTACAGCAGTATTGCACAAGTAAAGTGGCAATTACCCTGTCAAAATTCATCAGTGCAAAACACAAGTAAGCCAGGGAAATCGCAGTACAAATGCTACATCGGCTGGGTCCTAGGAAACAGTTAGTGATGAATCAGTATACAGACAGATCAGTGCTATTTATAAATGGGTACCTGATGAGTTCTGATACAGTAACGAGTGGTCACAGAACCTGCACGTACAACTTAAGAGAGCTTCTAAGGGCAGACATTTCCAAACAAAAGTAGTCAAGTTATTTCGCTGGGAGCCTGAGGATGCTTCCTGTACACAAAGATGTTTGTGGTAGGAGTTACCCGACTGATTTAGCGTCACGTGTGAGCACATCCATGCACACGTGTGTGCTGGGGGGACACACACAGGCACCAGGCTAAACCAGCAGGGATGACAGAACCATCTACATGTAGCCACTGATCAAGCCTCCCTGCAGCTTCCACGAGCTTTCACATCTTAACACCCAGTCCAGTGGGGCCCCCCAACTTCTCTAAAGGGGACGAGGACAGTGAAAGGAGGGCATCAACCTGAAGACACAGGCTGGCCAAATGCAGACACTGGGACATGGGGGGCGTGGACAACTAGCTCCTGAAGAATCAGTCCACACATCGAAGAAGAGAAAGCTATGCGGCAGGTGGGGGAAAATTCAGTGACTCACCAGCTCCCAACGAGGGGTTAGTGGTACGAGTGGACCTGAAGCTGCTCTTTAAAGCAGGAGCAACGCCGCCAGGCCGAGGGGTCCCGGCCAGGCGCGGCCCACCTGTCCTGCCACCCCGCCTGGCCCTCGCCCTGGACGACCTCATGGCAGACCTCTGAAACTGGCACCTTTTTATTTCTCTGAACACTGAGTTGTCAGGGGTTTATTTTCAATGGAAAAATATTTCCCAACTGCTGATAATACATTTTATTTTACGATATGGCCTGGAGTTAACATAATTTGCTTCTATGAGAAGCTAGCTGCTTTGGAACCAACAGAAGGATGCTGGGTGTTTCTTGGAGTTGAATTCTATAGCCTGTCTCTCATTGGCAACTGAGCATAAATTCCATCAAAAGGACAACAAAACTCCAGAATGTACACCCATTTGACCGAGTTACCAAGAACCAGAGCGGGAGGGCTGCCCACCCAGGAAGACCCGCAGCCTGCAGGGAGCTGACCAACGACTGCCGGGCAC